CCCCGGGCCCCAGAGCGGGAGCCGCTGCTGCTGTGGCCGCTACCACCATGAGCCTCTTCCTGCAGGCGCGGGGCACGTGCGCTGAGTGGCCAGCCTTTAGCATGCGCTGGCTGGGATGCCAAGCATGAGGGGAGGGGGAACGTGAGCACGAACAGAGCGGTGGCTGTGAGCATGCACTGGAATGCGGCTCAGAGTGGCCTGGCTGTGAGCAACCTTGTGCAGAGCGGCCAGCCTGACCATTAATAAGGAGCAGCAATTTTTTTTTATCCGGGGCACGTGCGCTGAGTGGCCAGCCTTTAGCATGCGCTGGCTGGGATGCCAAGCATGAGGGGAGGGGGAACGTGAGCACGAACAGAGCGGTGGCTGTGAGCATGCACTGGAATGCGGCTCAGAGTGGCCTGGCTGTGAGCAACCTTGTGCAGAGCGGCCAGCCTGACCATTAATAAGGAGCAGCAATTTTTTTTTATCAGAGTTGCATGCGGCTTGCGAGCCACGGGTTGGCCACTGCTGCTTTACAGTCTTTATACACAGTAGATGGGAAAACAACGGAGTATTCCGTAATCTTTTACATATAGGTGTGATATACAAAATCATTAGTCTGAAGTATCAGATAATATTGTGGCACTATATTATAACATGGTTGGAAGTCCAGGTAGATGCGTTCTAAAGAAGAGTGCACTAAGAGTGCAATGGGAACTAAAACACACTTTTCTTAGTGATAGTACAGGAAAATTTTGAATATTATTCTGTTTTATTACTACAGTACAAAACTGTTGTCAGAACGATCATGCAAGTTTTCACAAACATGACCCATGACACTAATTAATACTCTTGTTGGCAGTCTCCATAGAGGTTGATTAACTCCACATGATTAACTGTGTGGAAAACAAACACTCACCATAGAACTGATTCCTGTGGGTTTGTTTTGTGGGTCATTGATGGAGTTGGGAAGCTTGCACTGTGATTAGTTATCTACAGAGAAGGTGTAATATCAGTTCTCCTGTGATATGTTACCCCTTTTTTTTATACTTTACAAGATAAAAATAAGAGCTACAAATATAAAACCATGTTTAAGATGGCCTGAGACTTGTTGGTCATAAACAGGCCAAATTTCTGCTCGTACTTTGTAGAGCAAAATTATGAAAGTGGCTGTTGAGAAATGCAGATGATTGCCCAGAGGCACTGCTTCCTTCTCCTGATTATGAAATCTGTTTTGAAGACACAAGCACATTGTATGTGTTTAGGAACAGCTCCAAAGGAGCCGATAATGATCTGTTCGTGAGGAAGGAATTACACAAATTTCCATTGCTCTTTTGGAACTCTTGCAATTCTTGACTTTTTTTAATGAAGAAAACTCATTTTCAGTGACATGCTAATATATGGACTTAAAGCTATAGGTCAAATACTACTCATGAGTTAATGTGCTTATGAAAAAAGAGCTCGAATCTGGTAAGAGCTGCTTTGGAAAGTAACTTGATATATTTTGCTTTTTCAATTTAGATACTTACATAAGCCTAATTAAAATGTACTGAAGAGATCAGAGCAGTTCTTTTTGGGTATGTCTACATTGCATTCCTCCTTTCAAGAGAGGAATGCAAATGCAGATGAACAAAATCGCAAATGAAGTGTGGATTTGAATTTCCCACGCTTCATTTGCATAATTGCAGCCGGACACTTTTTCGAGATGAAAAAATGCTGTTTAAACCTGGTTATTTTGGGGGGGGGGGACCCTTCTTTCGAAATAACCCTTACTCCTCATTTTATAAGGAGTAATTTCGAAAGAAGGATTTTTTTCTCAAAATAACCAGGTCTAAACACCCAATTTCGAGGTGAAAAAATGCTATCTCGAAAAAGCGGCCGGCCGTAATTATGCAAATGAAGCATGGGAAATTCAGATCTGCTCTTCATTTGCAATTTCATTCATCTGCATTTGCATTCCTCTCTTGAAAGAGGAATGCAGTGTAGACATACCCTTTGTGTTATCACCATCAGTGGAACTATGCTTAGATAAAACTGAAGATTTTACAAGCCCAACATAATCCAGACATTTCCAAGTTGAGGTTAAATGTTTGTAACTTTTTAATGTCACCTCTCAGCTAGCCATGCGAAAATAGGAGTCCAAGACTCTGCTGACTTGTGTGTAATCTTTAGGGGGATGGAGAAGGAAATGCAAAACATTAGCCTAGTGTAGCAATTGTTGTAAAACATCTGTTGATTGTCTTAGAAATATGAAATGTTCTCAAATATATTGTCTGCTGAAATTCTCAAAGCATTATATAAATATTTAATGCCCCTGATAGAAAGGTAAATGTATTTTTTTGTTTTTTGCAGATGAGCAAACTGAGGAATAGGAATTTTGTGACTTGTCCAAAGTCTTGCAAATAGAGCAGTGCTGTGAATATAGAACACACAAAAACCATCAGTCCGAACTTGTCTTTGCTGCTGGATGACACTTCTGTGCTTGGCGATACAGGCAGTCCCCGGGTTACGTACAAGATAGGGACTGTAGGTTTGTTCTTAAGTTGAATTTGTATGTAAGTCGGAACTAGTACATATTGTAGGGGAAACTCTAGCCAAACATTTCTCCAGAGCTCAGTTTTATTCTCCCACACCTCACTTCCCTCAGTCCTTTATTCTCAAGCTGAGGTGTCGGCTGAGAAAAGCCCTTCACGTCTCCCTGGTCTGCTGGGGGGAAGCAGCTAGTGCGGGGTTGCCTCACCCCGTTTGTAAGTACATGGATCCGACTTACATCGGTTCCCTAACCCAGGGACTGCCTGTATTAATTTCTAAGCGAAGTGACGTAAAAACTAGTTACATCTGAATGTAAAGTGCATCAGTGTTCTGTTAATTTCCCCAGGAATGGTTAGGGGAGTAATGCTTTGCATTTCTTTTAGTTAGTAACTTCAGAGGATGTTTAAATTAGTGGAGTTAAGTTCACTTTTTCTCATTGCAGCATTCCTCAGCTGTGGAACTTCCCAAAATTGAGGGTATGTGTGGTTTTTTTTTGGTTTGTTTTCTTATCTTGCAATTGTCATAGCATAGATTAAATGTCTTCTCTTCTTCATTGTAAATGTTATTTTCAGTTAGAAGTTCCTGAACCCCACATTGATGATGTGGATGGTTGGCAGAGGGAACCCAAATATACATACAAAATGTATGCAAAACGTGTGTGCGCTCTAATAACATTGTCATTTGTGAGTGTGTAGTTTTCACCCATGGGCCTCTTTGGAGTGAGAAGAGCATAAGGGGCTTGATTTCCTTTTGCCACCTTCTAGCTGATTGTGCTTCCTTGTTTCTGGGAATGAGGGTGGAACTGGAATCCCTTCTGGTCAGCAGATCATTTGCAATGTTGTGACCAGAGGCATTTCTTCCTCTTCTACTTCCATCTGTTTGAAAAGAAAGAAACTGGATCTGCGAATGAAAGAAAAAAATTGAGCTGGATCTACCCAATGACTTATTCCTAGCAATTGGAGATATCAGCTAGGAATATAAACATCCATACTGTATTTTGTCTAGAGACAAACAGATGGTAGTTCTGGTAGATTTGATTATTGTGTATAGTGCTGTATGTTAATCTATCACATTCATAATATTATAAATGTGAAAAGTCTTGAGTAACCATGTTAGTCTCTATCTGTAAAGATACCCTAAGGTGCCACAGGACTTGTTATGTCTACATTGCATTCCTCTTTCGAGAGAAGAATGCAAATGCAGGTGAACGAAATTGCAAATGAAGTGTAGATTTGAATTTATTGCGCTTCATTTGCATAATCACATCCGGGCGCTATTTCAAAATACCCTATTTCAAAAAAAGAAATGTTGTCTAGACGCGGTTATTTCGAAAGGAAACCCTTCTTTCGAAATTACCCTTACTACTTTCAAAGTTACCCTTAAACCTCATTTTATAAGAAGAGTTTTCTTTTGAAAGTACCGCATCTAGACAGCATTTCTTTTTTCAAAATAGTGCCCGGATGCGATTATGCAAATGAAGTGCAGGAAATTCAAATCCGCGCTTCATTTGCAATTTCGCTCAGTTGCATTTGCATTCCTCTCTCGAAAGAGGAATTCAGTGAAGACATATCCTTAGAGATTAACAGATTTATTGGGGAATAAGCATTATGGGTAAAATCAACATCATCAAATGAATTGGAGTGGAAGTTACAGAGGCAGGGGAATATATATAAAAGTACAACAACAGAAAGATGTAATTTTAGGACCAGTGTGAATGAGGCTAATCAAACAGGTTGGATATGGCTCATGCACAGCTGCTGAAGGGGAGATGTGAATATCAAGAGAAGGGAAATTGCCTTTGTATAGTGTTAGCCAGTTTAAATCTTTATTCAGGCCTAATTTGATTGTATTAATTTGCAAATGAATTGCATTTCAGCTGTTTCCCTTTGTAATTGGCTTATTATAAATGTGATTAGACATGCCAGTGCTGTCCAATGGCAATTGAGTTAACATCAAAGATCAAGTATCAGAGGGGTAGCCATGTTAGTCTGGATCTGCAAAAGTGACAGGGAGTCCTTTGGCACTTTATAGACTAACACGTGTATTGGAGCATAAGCTTTTATGGGCAAAGACCTACTTTGTCAGATGCATGTAATTAATCTTGTAAAATCTTTGGGGTTTTAACAACTTCGGAAATTCCTTCTATAACAAAGGAGATTGAATCACAGCCATCTTAGTACTATTTATTTTATGGTTTGTATTATTGTAGTGCCTTGGAGCCTTACTCATGAACCAGGATCATGTGCTAGTGGCTGTGTGAACACAGAACAAAAAGATGGACCCTGCCCCATGTTGCACTTTAATCATTTTACTGAATTTTTTAAAATATAGGAGTTCGCTTAAATTAATTTGGGATCTATCCTTTTGTCTTTTATATCAAATTAAGGTGTTGAGAATGGTGCTTTTTGTTAAACCTTAGAAACTTATTTTGTGTTTCCTTGTTCCTGCAGCTGTTGTTTTGTTTGGAGAACCAGTCAGATGGGAGACGAATCTTCAGCTGATAATAGATGTTCTGCTGACCGGTGGCTGTCCTGGAAAACCACATCATCAAGCCAGTTACCCACATATACCTGTGCTTGCTTGTAATATGGATCTGATGTGGGTGGCTGAAGCACAGTCTCCAAGGTAGGCACATGTGCCATGTAATGTCGACAGTTCTACCATTCCAGGCTTCTCCATAGAATCATAGAACCGGAAGAGACCTCAGAAGGCCATCAAGTCCAGCCCCCTACCCAAGGCAGGACCAATCCCAATTAAATCCACCCAGCCAGGGCTTTGTCAAGCTGAGACTTAAACACCTCTAGGGATGGAGACTCCACTACGTCCCTAGGTAACCCATTCCAGTGCTTCACCACCCTCCTAGTGAAATAGTTTTTCCTAATATCCAACCTGAACCTCTCCCACTGCAACTTGAAACCATTGTTCCTTGTTCTGCCATCCGTCACTACTGAGAACAGCCTTTCTCCAGCCTGTTTGCAACTCCCTTTAAGGAAGTTGAAGGCTGCTATCAAATCCCCCTCACTCTTTGCTTCTGCAGACTAAATAGACCCAACTTCCTCAGCCTCTCCTTGTAGGTCATATGCTCCAGCCCCCTAATCATTTTGGTCGCCCTCCACTGGACCCTCTCCAATGCATCCACATCCTTCCTGTAATTGGGGGCCCAGAACTGGACACAATACTCCAGATGTGGCCTCACCAGCGCTGAATAAAGAAGAATAATCACATCTCTGGATCAACTGGGATCTCTCCCGTTCTCTATGAGTTTTCAAAGATAATGGCCAAAGGGTCCTCAGTGACATTTGCCAACTCCCTCAGTACCCTCGGATGCATTAAATGCAATGCCCATGGATTTGTGTATGTTTAGCTTTTTTAAATAGTTCCTAACTTGTTCTTTCCCCACCAAGGGCTGTCTACCTCCTTCCTATACTCCATTGCTGAGTGCATTTGTCTGGGAGCTGACCTTGTCCATGAAAATAGAGACAGAGAAAGCATTGAGTACTTCAGCTTTTCCCACATCATCTGTCACTAGGCCACCTCTGTCATCCAGCAAGGGCCCCACACCCTCTCTGATTACCCTTTTATTGCTAACGTGCCTGTAGAAACCTTTCTTGTTATCCTTCACATCCCTTGCGAGTCGCAATTCCAGTTGCACTTTCGCCTTCCTGATAACTCCCCTGCATTCTCGAGCTATACATCTATTCTCCTCCCTAGTCATCTCTCCAAGTTTCCACTTTTTGTAAGCTCCCTTTTTGTGCTTAAGTTCACCAAGGCTATGTCTAGACTGCAGGCATCTTTTGAAAGATGCTCTTTCGAAAGCAACTTTCAAAAGAGCATCTTTCGAAAGATCGCGTCTAGACAGCAGGCGGATCTTTCGAAAGAAAAATCCGCTTTTTCGAAAGAGAGCACCCAGCGAGTCTGGATGCTCTCTTTCTTATACGGGACTTTAATCACCCTGACATCTGTTGGGAAACCAATATGGCAGTACACAGGCATTCCAGGAAGTTTTTGGAGACTGTTGAGAATAACTTCTTGGTATTAGTACTGAAGGGTCTGACCAAGGGCTGTGCGCAGCTTGACCTTCTGCTCACAAACAGGGAGGAACTAACAGGGGAAGTGGAGGTGGGTGACAACCTGGGAAGCAGTGATCATGAGATTATCTTTTTCAGGATCCTGACCAAAGGAAGATGCTGAGGAGAAATCTAAGTATTTCATAACATATATATGATGTTCCTGTGAAATATTGACTGTGAGCCATTACTTTGAAATAATGTGAGAAATAAATTATCCGTCACAAGAATAAGTGGCACATCATGTGAGATTATACGATCCACCACTGCATGTCTAGAGTAGTGGCTCTCAACCTATGTTCTATGGAATGCCAATAGATCATGATAATCGTCATATAGAAATATTTTGAGGATCAAGTAAGGCTTGACTAGGTATTGGAATCAAGGTGGTCTTGAAAAGGGTCTTTTATGATTTGATTCACAGAATTGAAAATGTTGAAAAAACACTGTTCTAGAGTTTGAGCTACGCTCGGAGTTTTCTCCCTCTATATACTGGAGTTCTGAGCAATCATAGTGCTCTCTTATATACAGTGCAACTCCTCCTTTTTTCCCCTGCCTGTTCTTCCTGAACAGTTTATACCCTTCCATGACAGCGCTCCAGTCATGCGAGTCATCCCACAAAGTCTCTGTTATCCCAATCAAATCATAGTTCTTGGACTGGGCCAGGGCCTCCCATTCCTCCTATTTGTTACCCAGGCTTCTTGCATTGGTGTACAAACACCTTAGATAACCAGTTGATCGCCCTACCTTCTGCATCCGAATCAGGGGTCCTCCTTTGTTGCTTGTTCCTCTTTGTGTTTCTTCCCGGTATCCGACTTCCTCACTTCTCAGGGCTTTGGTCATTGTCTCCCAACGAAGCTAGTTTAAAGCCAGCCTCACTAGATTTGCAAGCTTGCCCGCGAAGATGCTCCTTCCTCTTTTTTTATTTTTTATTATTTTTTTTTTTTTAAAAAAGGTGGATCCCATATCTTCCTAACAATCCTTGTGCCCGGAACAGAGTACCATGGTCAAAGAAACCAAAGCACTCTTTACTTCCTGAATTCGACGATCCGTACTCAGTCCTTTCCCTTCAACAGGGAGGATGGACGAGAACACCACTTGCACTCCGAATTCTTGGATCCTTCTTCCCAATGCTACATAATTTGCAGTAACCTGCTCAAAGTCATTCTTGGCTGTATCTTTAGTTCCCACATGGAGAAGGAGGAAGGGTAGCTATCCGAAGGTTTAATCAGTTTTGTAAGACTCTTGGTCACATCCTGATTTCGAGCTCCCAGTAAGCAACGCACCTTTTGAGATTCCAGGTCCGGACAGTAGATGGATGGCTCAGTCCCTCTAAGGAGGGAGTCCCCGACCACCACCACCCACCTTCATCTTTTGGGGGTGGTAGTTGTGGAACCCCCATCGCTAGGACTCCTCATCCTATGCCTTCTAGTAGAAGTCGTTCCCTTCCGATTTCTTTCTTGTGAGGTCCCTTCCAAAGCATTCACCATCGCAGAGGCTGTTGGGAGAGCCTGAAAGCAATTACTTACCTCTGTAGGAATGGGGGATTCCTGTGCTGGTCTTTTTTTCCTTCTAGAAGTTACATGCTACCAATTCTCTTCCTTGTCCTGTATTGCCCTCTTTGGTGCTTCTGCCTGCTGTGCTTGAAGGATTAAATGCTGCCTTCTATCCACTTTTGCCTGCCGTGCTTGAAGGATTAAATGCTGCCTTCTATTGAGGAAGTCTTCATCCTCTCTGATCGAGCGTAGGGTTGACACTTGGGCCTCCAGTCCTCTAATTTTTTCTTCCAAAATGGCGACTAGCTTGCACTTAGTGCAGATGAAATCCCTTCTTTCTTCCGGGAGGAAGACAAACATGGCAAGCTCCGTAACAGCAGACCTATCACTATCCCTACCTGCTGTCCTAAAAAAGGGTTTAAAGGAAAGGGAAGAATACCTCACCCCTTTCCCTCTCCCCTTCCAAACTCCCTCTCTAAACTCCCTGTTTGCAATCACCTGTTCACAAGCTCCCTGGTCGCTGACTCACTCCTTTATAAAACCCTAGACTTCCTGATAGTCCCTCCCCCTACCAAGGCTCAGCCAGTCAGCAGAGGTGTCTAGATTTCACACTTTTAACACACAGTCACGTGCGCGGGGAGGGTGAGCCGGGACATTACCATGTTGGTAATAAAAGGGAGTAGTCAAAATTCAAGAAGAGACAATGTTTTATACTAACTCTTCATTAAGGTATAGGCATCAAAACCCTGAGTTGAGCTGTGCAAAAGTAATACGTTGGGTACAACTGGCAATGTCACATTCTGTTCTTGCAAAAACCTGCATTATTTTCTTGCATTCAATTTTTCACAGTTGCAAAAGTTTGCTTTCTTAAGTGAAAACTCTCTTTTCAGCCCTAGCCCATTTTTCCTTTTTCCCTCAAAATACTTCATGAAGTAGCTCTCCTATCCCCCTCCCAAATGCTTCTCAGCGCACTAATGCAATGGGCAGTAGCATTCAACTGGCTTTAAAGTAGAGATGTTAAAGGCTAAAGGGTTAGCCAGTTACCCAGTAAGCATTAGCCTTATTGGCATGCTTACCAGGTAACAGGTTAACCAGATGACCTGGCTGGCGGAGAAGCCCCTGGCCGCCCATCTGCCCGTGCCCCATGGTTAACCAGTTAACAGAGGCGTAGCGAGGGTGTTATGCGCCCGGGGGCAAAGGAAAAATTTGCGGCCCTGCCTCCATGTGACACGGCACCAAACCTGGCCCACAGCTGAGGGGAACTTGTACTGCATCTTCCCCCACCCTCTACAGTTTGGGGCCAGGCTCCCGCATGCACTAACCCGCCAGTGGAGATGGAGGAGGGTCGGGCTTGGAGCAGAGAGACAGGGAGGAGGCTTCAGCTGCCGGTGGCAGGCGGAGTAGGAGCACGTGAGCTGAAGGGATAATGGGGGGAACAGAATGGGATTAAATTGGAGCCTCCCTAGCATGGTGCCCAGGGGCAACTGATCTCTCTGGCCCACCCGCTACGCCACTGCCCCCCCTCCTGCAGATCTATCATCTTATGCATGTGCAAGAGCTGTGAGAGCCGTCCCATGAATCTACAGTTAGAGTCTCTGTGGTGCCTGCTTCTGGGTGGTGTCTCAATGCTGCCACATTCACCTCCAAAGAGGGGGCTTCCCAAAGCAGGCCCTTGCTGCTGACCCCCAAGGCATCCACAGGTCCAGTCTCCTTTCAATGGGCCCACTTCCCAGGGCTCATTGATCTTGGATCTGGCTTATATCCCCTTTGCAACTGCCCAGAGGTGCTCACCTTCCGTCATATACGTTCCCACCTCATTCACCCCATAGGGACAGTCTCTGCCTCACTTGTCCTAGGGACTATTCTACCAAGACGTAACAAAGTTTCCATGTAAAAGGACTCAATACAAAGCTAAAAACTTCAATGAGAGAATGATTAATACAGAGACGTGTCTACATCTGCTGCAGGGAGACCCCTCTGCCTGCCTCCACCCCTCTCCATTGCAAAGCGGGGGAGGGAAAGAAAAGAGGCTGAGGCCCATCCAATGGGACTGAAGCAGTCATGAGCAAGCCATGCCCGGGAGCCATTCTTCTGTCCCTGGTGTTGGTGCTATGTTGCTTCAGGAATGCTGAAATGCAGGAGCATCCAGACTGCCTGGGTGCTCTCTTTCGAAAAAGCAGTTTGCTTTTTCAAAAGGAGCAGTGCGGGCTGTCTTCCTGCAGAGCCCCCATCAGAACTACTGTGCCCTTCTGGCTTAAGAAAAGAATAAACAGGAGGATTGGAAATTAACCTGCCCAGTCTCACGTCCCCTAGGCAGGGACTGAGCCATCTACATTAGGCCCCAGCTTGAGTATCATGTCCAGTTTTGGGCGCCACATTTCCTGAAATGTGGCAAAACTGGAGAAAGTCCAGAGAAGATCAACACAAATGATGAAAGATATGAGAACATGAGGTATGAGGCTAGGCTGAAGGAGTTGGCCTTGTTTACCTTGGAAAAGAGAAGACTGAAAAGGGACATGAGAGCAGCTTTCAAGTATCTAAAAGAGTATCATAAGGAAGAGGAAG